TAATTGATAACCTTTGCCCCGCTGTAAGGCACCCCAGGAAATAACCGTGATAGTCCATGATAATGGAAAGGTAAATTTGATATATACACCGAATAAATGTAATAAAATGTAATATATATAATAATATAATATTTAATTTATCATATGATCAAATTGATCAATTGATCAACGACACCCACACAATCAAATTCGATGAAATTTTTTTATTTGAATCCTCCGGAACTGTAGAATTCAATAAAAAAAAAAAATTTATCGAATTTGGTTATATGGATGTCGAGATACCTTCGATCAAAGTCAAGAAAATTTTGCCGCAGCTAATATATATATTTTTTTATTTGAATTCCGCTGTTCCATAGAATTTAAATAGAAAAATATTAACTGAATTTGGTCGGGTGGTTGTTGAGATATCTTCGATCAAAGTCAAAAAAATCTTGCCATTTCATTTACGTTTATAAATTTTTCAAAACTTTGATCGAAGATATCTCGACAACCACCGACTAAATTTGATGAAATTTTTTATTTAAATTCTCTGGAACAGTAGAATTCAAATAAAAAAAATTCATCAAAATTTGGTTTGGTGGGTGTCGAGATATCTTCAATCAAATTTAAGAAAAATTTTTAATCGTCTATCAAAATATTAGCTGCGGCAAAATTTTCTTGACTTTGATCGAAGGTAACTCGACACACACACAACCAAATTCGATGAATATTTTTTATTTGAATTCTACTGTTCCGGAGAATTCAATAAAAAAATTTCACCGGATTTGGTTGTGTGGGTGTCGAGTTATTTTCGATCAAAGTTAAAAAAACATGATTTACAGAATGTAAATCGTTTTTTTTTAACTTTGATCGAAATAACTCGACACCCACTAGGGAGTGTGGCACGACAAAAAAATTTGGCATGCCATAAGGCACGCCACCTGACAAATTTAATGCCAGGATGCCACCCTGGCATGCCATCATATCAACACATTCAAAACCCCAAGACGATTCACAAATCCCGAAATTTTCCGACAACCTTGCCCATATTTTATATTCGTCAACTATCCGTTATTCCGAAATTTTCCGAAAATAGATATATTGATTATATAAAAGTGGTCTATGCTTGGCATGCCATGGTGTGTGGAAAAATCAGGACCTTGATCAATTGATTAATAAAATTTACCTGCATCATAATAACCCTTTTATAGTTGCATGAATAAATACGAAAAAAGATCAGTTTAATCATTAAATTGGTTGCCTCCATGAAAGTGTACATTTAAAATTTAATATATCGGGAAGAATCTAAACATTTAATGGAAGGCAATTAATTAATATAAATGCGAAAACGCTTACTTTACTTAAATCAAGACCGACATCTTGACCATCGTTTAGTGCTGAATCATGTCTCCTGAAAAATTATCTATCGTAAATATCTTTCTAGACAATTAAAGGTATTGTTGAAAGTAAGCCTACCATGATACTCTGTTGTCTGCAGGTAATTTTCCACTTCTCTCCGCTTCGTAAAAATATAAAGAATATGCTATTAGCCTTGCATATTCCGGATTAGGATAAGTATTGTTACTTGGTTCTTGTGGTATTCCGGGAATATTTGGAGGTGGTAATGCATAATTTTCCTGAGCTTGAGTTAACGAAGTTAAAAGCAGTAAAATAGGGATTAAGAGAGTTCCTCTTTTGTGGTCACGCGCACGCAAGTTCATGTAGAATTATTAAAGGTCGAGTTTAAGAAAATGCGTTTAAATGATAGCGAACATTCTGATGTATTTATTTTGTTTAGAAATATGAAAAGGAGATGTACATAACGGGAAATAGCAAAGCAGATTATGGATTATTTGAAAACCCGAATCTAATTTTAGAATGATCGTTATCAAAATTTTTCAACTATTCCATATCTGAATTATTCTACATTAAATGATAATGTTAATCCTCCACGCGAATAATACGTAAATAGAAAAATTCGGTATTACAAATTCGGTATTACAGTAGTGACGCTAGGACAACCTATATAAATATATAAGGCTGTCAAACCCTTTTTGAATATTAACACCCGAAATTTTAACATTTTATTGGTGAAAAAATTGTGCATATCTTCTCATGTGAATATAAAAAAATATTTACACTTTGATTTTTATTCAATCACTTTTCTTTAATCAGATTCAAAATAATATGTAACAGTAAATAATAATTATTATGAAGAAGTAATTCAATAAATGCAAGGATAAAGTATAAACTATAATCCAATACTATGTTGAATTTTCTTTTTTTTTATAACTTTGTACATGATGTTTCATAGAGTTTAAGAATGAAAATTTTATTCTAAAAGCGACAAATTCGATTCTATTCATTGTTGGAGTAATATTCTTACAAGTCATTAATGAAACTTTCCATGTCTTTAAATTTTTTCGTCAGTATAGACAAGTCTTGTGGAATATCTCCACGGAAGGATCAGCATCGATTTTGCCTATCGATTACTATTCAACCATTAATTACCACTCACACCCGGCCGTATGATCAATTGTTTCATTTATTATCGCTTCTACCATATCGTTTCGTTTCCTCATTTGTTCTTTTATTAATTTCTTCTCTCCGGCGAGTTTTAAAAGGTGATCTTTCTAAAGTTTAATAATGGAATAAAAAAAAGTTGGTCAAATCACGTAAGCATAACTGTATATAACTTTATATATATAATGTTAATTGAAAATAGTTTACAAACCTTATTGGCTTTTGCCAATTCTATCTGCATGTTCTTACGACTTTGCCAATTACGATGCTTTTTGCAACGCGCCTTTTGAATTGTACAAATTTCGTCACCGGCATATTTCACATCGTCTTTATCAATAACCCAATCAAAACGAGGACTGTATCCACAGATTGGTGCATTATGTGTGGGCCCGTCGCTCTCGGATTGTTTCTCAAATTCACATGGAATATCTTGAGCTGATCCATCACTATCAACTTGATCACTCTCACTTTGAATCCTCTCTGTGCTCCGTCCAGCAACATTATTAAGTGTCTCGATTTCTTCCAACTCTTTTTTGATTTTAGCTTCCTTCTTCTCTATCCTTTTCGACCTTTCAAAATCTTCCAATTGTCCGAATTGTACAGGTAGGCATATATAAATATAATGTATTTATATTGTTAATATATTTTAAACAGACGTCGAT